CCAAAGCGTTTGTCGCGAGAAGCTCGCCAGGGCGCGTGGGGATGATCTCCGTGCTCGCGTGGAAGCGTGAACATGCGTGTGCCCGTGTAGGGCGGCGACTCATCTTCCGAAGAGTCCATGGAGAATCCCAAGGTTGAGATCACAGAGAAGAAGCAGGCTATGGGGTCTTCATCTATGGCGGCTGGAGCCTCGAAATCTAAGACCGCTTGGCAACTGTGACGCTACCCCACCTTGCAGCAGCGAAGGAAGGTCTGCCAACCAAGGTGCCACCAATAAAATTGTGATGATTTCACGTGGAGCACCAAAGACATCACGTGGTTTTGCACATGACTGGCACGTGCAAGTCGACGCCCTGGCATCTTAGCGTCGAAAACACAAAAAGAACAAACATACCGCAAACACCAAGCCACGCCTTGCCAAACCACAAACCAATGTCGCCAGGGTGGCCAGAAAGCACAGCAGGCGAGGATGTAATATCATGATGAGGAGGAAGGTGATGAGTATGGCAACACCACGAACGTCATTTCGCCACACGGTGGGCTCCACAGACTGGAAAAACAACACCGACCCTCGTGGGCTCCCCAAGCCGCATTTACATCAGAATGGTTTCCTTCATGCTTTCAACAGACACAAGGGGCTTTGCCGCAAATCGTACCCTTTTGAAGGTGCTGAACAAGAAAAGGGTCTCAGGACCTCTTGCTACGGCCTCAAAGGATAAGGATGAACGGGTATTTTGATTGTACCACCGGAGTCCTAATGCCCATACAAAGCTTAAAGTTTGGAGAGAATCTCAAATACAAACATCATGGTAGTACGACCACTACCCTGTGAGGGATACAGGCACATGGGTGAGGACAAAATAACTTGCGATGACACGCGACTGCGACAACGGAAAACATGTTAGTCTTCTCTTAATTGCCGTTCCCTCTCGTCGTTGTCAGGACCAGCCCAATGGAGGTGTTCCAAGTAACCCTTGACAAAATCAATGGACTCAAACGCATGCATAGTATGTCCACTCTGAAGCATATTTATGGTTTGGTACCATCTTGAACTGGTGCCCTACCAGCCCCGAACCAGGACCCACAAGGCCGCTTTGGTGCCAGGCCTTTTCAGACGCCATGGCGCTTAAGGCTTAAGCAGCGGCTTGGGTGTGTTCTTTCCCGCTTTCGGGCCCCGTGGATGGGCCAGCATGTGACACGTGTGATGGGCTGCACGTGTGAGTGTTGTTTTTGCCAGGCCATCTGGGAGCAGTTGCTCAAAGATTTGGGCAATTCTGTATTGGATCCAGGATGGTTGTCAGGGTATGTTGCAATTGTTCCCTATTTCAACACCCCGTGAGGGTGGAAACCCCAGATCTGCTTCGGAGTCAGTGTGTAGGTTTGTGTGGTGAGGCCTTGTTGTGGGCGACTGGCTTGGGCATCTTCTCTATTTGAGAACATAGAGGTTCAACTTTCCCGGCAAAGGCTGAACTTGGTGCTCCCCACAGGTGACTTGGTCAATCTAGTTTTGTCGATTCCACACTTGGAAACGCCTTCCAGATCACTCACCTTCCAAACTTCAGTTTGAGCTGCACATTGGCTGGCACATGCTGGCACACAAACACTTGACAAGAATCCATGGCGCTACGGATAATTCCGGACTTTCAGTCTTGCAACCATAGTGTGGCGTGCAGGGTCCTTGGAGATCTCTGAATGAACAAACATGAGAAGACACATTTGGCTTCTAAAAAAAAGGCCAATGACATCCAATGACTGGGGCCTTGGGTCCCTATAGTCATCGGTCTATCAAACCATGTCAAAGCAATCTGTCCCTTTAGGATTGTGGGGTCCATGGGGTCCATATGGCGGGCCAAAACCCGGAGTTGCCAAACCAGGGTATTCTGTTCATTCTTGGTGGTCAACCAAGGTGTCCCATGTCTTGACTCACACCCATCTGGGGTCCATGACGGCATCTCCAAGAATTCCGAACTTCGACTCCGAACTGCGAAACCTTCGGACGACGGAAACGACACACACACACACACACGGCTGTCATAACCGGTAGAACCAACAGTGAAGAACATGGGTGTGTATCAAAATAGGGAACACCCCCAAGATTCCCTGGAAGAAGGGAAATAGACCAAAACCCGTTGGGGGCCGGGGTCTTCCTATTAGAATACACGCCCACATGAACACAGCTACGACATGAACACAGCTCCGTTTCAAAGGCACAGCTCCGTTTCGAAGGCACTATAGACTATGTAGTAGGTTAAGTTCATCTAGATAGGTTCAAGATGGTTCAAGGTTTGCTTGCGAGGTGTAAGCAAATGACCGCAATCTGACGACAACACAAACCCAAGTATGGGATCCCTGATCACACCTGGCGAACATGACTACTTATTTTCTTCAGTGAGCCCCAAACCATCGCGGGCAGCTCAGGGGCTTGACTTGCCACGAAATGAACAGAGTGCCCGATCGCCGCGATCACCTCCCGCTCTCTATATAAGCTCCCAAACCTCGTGGGTGGGTCGCACTATGTCGTTGTAGAATCAAGGACAACCCCCTCCCACGCTCCTTTTCCAAGCTGAAAATCGATCAAACTGATTGGATCTAACGGTGCGTTGATTGGGTACGATCGAAGAAGGGAACCACCTGGTTCCAGCTCATGTTGTCTTGTTTCTACAGGTGCTTTGGTGTTGACATCGAAAGGACACAAGAACAAACACAAACCACAACAACAACAACAACATCATCATCATCATCATCATCACCAACACCAACACACACACACACACACACACGCAAAAACAAACAAACAAACAAACAAACGAACAAACATATTCTACCGGAACAAAACCTTTAGGTGACCAGCAGTTAGGGCTTTTGACCGGCATAAATCCCTGGTCTCCCGACATGAAAACATAAAGACTCAATCAGAAGGGATCAGCATTCGCCATCCACCATGAACTCAGCAAAGCAACAGCTAAGCCTGTCGGGGGAAACGAGGCGAAGCAAGACCTTTTTTTGAACCTGGCAATGCCTGGCAATGGCAACCCCAAAAACAATCAATTGGGCGGAACAGCAGTGGGGCCCCAGCTGGAACATGCTGTACTCATAACTTCATAACTACTTTACATTCATACCGACCCAATTGAAAAATACTGTATAATTATATTATAATATAGAGCAAATTCGGTGGTGGCAGCATGTCTTGGAAACCGCCTCAAGTTCAAACGGCCACGAAGAAACCTCTCTCTCACCGGGGATGGGTCGCCCACCTAGAGCCGACCAGTCCACCGATGTGCACCATGTGCTGCGAAGGACCGACACCAGGTAAGGTCAACCAGTCGGATCCTGCGACCCATGGCGCCATGGTGGTCAAGACCTGCCAAATGGATCCCTGGAATAGAAATTGAAAGGATCACATCTTCTTCCACCTGTTCTTTTGGAACCGGAACACCGCATTCTCGAAAAGGTTGGACAGGTTATCCACGTACTTCCTGGGTGGTATGAAGCAGCAATTTGTAGTGTTCTCTCCTTCTACCAGTATCAGTGCACCAACACAACATCCATCTAATTGCAAAGCTCAATCTCAGAAATGTCCCCAAACAACCCGAACAAAAAAGTGAGAGTGATTGAAAGTGCCTTAACTCGCTGGTATTCCTTGGATATCATTGGATCCTCTGGTAGATGCACCAGGAGGACAAGTCCCCTGTCATCAATCGGCCAATCACCACACCCCCACTTCAAGCAATTCCACGCATTCGCTTTCGCTGGTTCGCATAGACACCCCGATGGATCACTGCAGTCCGCCTCTGGAAGAATGGATTACTGGTCTGCTGTGCATGGCATGAAGACTCTTGAGGAGGACATCCTCTTCATATGGGGGTTGATTTGAATCAAGAGTCTGCATGATGCTCCCGGCGTCTTGGCTCTGAGTAGGATGGAATCTACCAAAGCGTCCGCAAGGCGCCTCGTCACTGGGTGAGTGGGGACACATTGCAACGTGGGTCAGAGCGAGACAAAGCCTAGTACTTGCAAGTGGAATACACATGACACTTGCGAGCATAAGGTTATATATGCAACCAAATGCAACCCAAGTCTTGCGGGTCGTCTCATGTGGTTTCTGTTTTCGTGTCTTTTGGCTGAACCAAACACCACGAGTCGGCCCAGCCACGCCCCGAACCGGGGAAGGATCCTAAAGGACCCCTCGGTTGCGGGTCACGGCAACTTACGTAGGTCACATCACAGTGGGTCCGGGGCCCCAAGGGCCAGCAAAAATGAATCGTTTAGTACAACCATGGTGAAGGTGGGGGAGGGCCATGCGACCTTCAAAACCAAAACTCTTGCGCAAGGCATTGACGGGGCAAGAAGAACGAGTCTGAGAAGACCGTCGGCGGCGATTGCATACAAGCGACATCAGTCATCAAACCTTGTACTCAACAGGGTTGAGGTCAGTAGCAAAGATTAGCTAAAAGCATGCGGGAACAACTCGGTTGCTTTGCCCTAATATCCGCGCACCACCACTCTTTTTCACACTGTCTGCGTTGAATGTCGGTCGTGGCTTGGCCTGGCGCAAGGTTTGTGATCCAAGTGAAATGAACTTGAGAAAGGAGGGGGGTGAACGAAAGGTAGCAGGCAATCACAAGCAACCCTGGTAAAAGTCCACGACGGCGTGAACTGGCGCAGGGGGGATTTGATCCAGGGTGGGGGCCCCCTCCCCCCGGTGAACAGAATCAACTCTTACAGGACCAAATTCAATGCACAATCCAAACTCCTGATTGTAATACATCTTGCTAAAGCAAGGAGAACTCAAGTAGCTCAAGCTACCTTTCGTGATTTGTAATGATCCATGCTTACACTAAAATGAAGAATAAGAAAGCACATCTTTGGTATGAAGTCTTCGCCGAACAAAAGCTTCCTCCATCAGAAAAATCGTATTACAAACCTCTTTTTTGACAACCTACTCTGCGCTGAAAGCAAACACCATTTTTCGGACATCAGCCAGCAAAGATCGTGTCTCTTTCCTTTCTCCAAAGCTGCCCTTCTGAGCTTTCCAGCCATTCTGCCAAAGCAGCCTTCTTGGAAGAAGGCGCCGAATTGCGCATTTTTTGTTTTGACAATCGTACAGTCATTGGTGGTGGCTCAAGAATTTCTTTACCGACATATGGCTTCAATGCTTCAGAAATGGTGCTTGGCAAATCCACAGGGAGAGAATCATGCAGGCTCCGTCTCCGAGATTCGCGGATGTCCCGGGTCTTCAAACAGGAAGAGCCAACCCACTCGTCTGGAATAGCAACTTCCAGAATATCCATCGAGGCGTGGCCAAACAATCCATCATAGCACCGCCCCGCTTCTTGGGCAGCCACACGCATGGCCTGGATTTGTTGTACTGGCAGAGCTCTCTGGTTGCTAGACACCCGAATTTTAGCTTTCTCAAGAATCTGGCACACAATTTTGACGAGCAAGCGGTCTCGAGGAGATCCAAAGATGCAAGATACGCGAGCTTGCCTGGTAGGCAGAACAGACTGCGATATGTGGGCGCCTCTCTCTCTCTCTCTCTCTGTTTGTGTGTCTGCGGGCCGAGTGTGCGTGGAGGAGTATGTTCCCTACAAAAAGGAAAACCACGTTAATGGAAAAGTACTTAAACCTTCTCAGATGCTTCAGAAGGGCTTGGTCGATCAAAGGTTGAGGTGCATAATTTTGAGATGGGTTCCATGCTCCGTGCAACAAGCTTCCAACATGCTCGCATGGTTGTTCGGGAGGATCGAGCAAGCGGCAATGATGATGAATTCGAGCAGCATGCCACCCAATTTCTTTACTGCGATACTTCCCCACAGTGTTGTGCCCCATGGCAAAAAAAACGGTGTTTATCCAGCGCGAGCGACACGGCCTGATGGTTGATTGCAAACTGTACTTCAACGACAAGAACGAGCTTGCGAGGTCGACCAGCATTGTTTGCCAGCGAAAGAATACTTCCCACAGAGATTGCTCGAGGGTCGTGCAGCACACGCTTTCTTCGGCGGAGATTGGTGCGACAGGTTGCCTCCACACAAAAATGTTGGAAGGACACCGTTCTCTTTATGTTCTTTATATAAATTATTGCAAAATAGACAAAACTACATTGGATCCGGCAAGACACAGGAAACAAAGAAGTGGCACTCACACTTAGCTCAGGTTGACTGGGAAAATCAAGGCTGTCGAATTTGCCCAGGAAAGCGGACACCAGCGTAGCAGTTCGGGTCGCATACAGACTGGATTTGAAAACAGCCTGGAAGCACTGCAACAAAGGGCTAAAGACCCAGCATGGAGACACCAAGCACATGGAGGGCGTGCTCCAGGCAGCAGCGGACAACAAGACATCTGCAGGGATACCCGAAGCATTCGATGTTGCATACTGCGTTTGGGCAACCATCCGCACCCGCTTCAAAAGCATGCCATACGACAAAATAAGTTCACCCCTTTTGCTCCAGGATCTGCGAATGCCAGGCCACAAGTTCCTGACAAGTGACAGAAATGATAGGTGTAGAAAACAAAAATCAATAAGCAAACGAACAAAAAACAAAAAAACAATGCTTTACAATGGTTATGTGTTTGGAAACAAACAAGCAAACAAACAAACAAACAAACAAGGCTTTAAACTGGTTTGCGCTTAGCTTCTCATCTGGCCACGCACTGTGATCTAAAGTGCACTTGAGAGAGTCCACCAGTCTCATGAAAGCATCCACATGTCGGTTTAAAGGTTTATTGTGCAACAGGAAGTCCCAATCCCAAGCTTCACATGCGTCAGAGAGGAGACGCTGCATGTGCTCGTTCACGCCAGCATCGCCAAGAGCGGCTTTGATGTTTTCTTGCAAATTCTTCAGAAAGCCCAAAGATGACGTTAAAGAAGCTTGTATGTCTGCATGCTGCTGGTACACTGTGATAGGCACCTGGCACCCCTTTCTGCGAAACATGTCTGGTATGCCTGTTGGCTTTGGAGTAGGACACACCTGAAATCTTGGAGTTTGGGCCTCTGTAGCTGTATCTTGGCTGGTGCTTGCGATTGCAGCCCCATAAGCCACCCACACTGGAACAGGAATTTCGCGATGTCTTTTCCTCTTCCGGGAAGCTCTCACTACCGAAATCAAAGGCAATTCTTCTGGCTTGGCAGCGTTGTTCAAATGAGCTAATTTGCTCGCGCACTGGCAATGCGGGCTAAGACAAATGGAGCCCTGTTCCAATGGCAAATCTTGCTGTTGCAAGGCGCACTTGCCCAGCATGGGCGGGCTTTTGGTGACCAATCCAGGCAGGCGCAACCAAAACTCAAAAATCAGTCGAGCAGACGATTGGCTAGACCGCGCCACGATGAATCGAGCAACCTCTGCTCTTGACAAATGCGGGCGAAGCAGCGCAAGGATTGCAAGGAATTTGCTAGCCTCTTGGATACTGGCCACCATACGATCAATATTTTGCAACATGCGCATTTCGGCTTTGCGAAGGACCCACGGCTCGACCGCTTTCTGGGAGGCCAAAACATATGGTCGCACACAGCTCTCGAAGGCCGACTGGAAAACCAGAAGAAAAGCCACCTCGTGCAATCCATGATCAGCGTTTTACACAGATGGTCCAGTTGCTTCTCCGAAACGATACTCTACAACCATATTCAGTTCATGTTCATACATGCTGCTTTGAAAAGCAAAATTTACTCGTTACGCACAATGTCGCGCAACAAAATCTTGCTTGCAGCTTAGTTGCAAAAGACAAGGAACAAATTCGACGTCCAACTGACAGCAAAGTTGCCAGGGTCTGCTTTCCATGCCCTGACCTTTTCCACGCTATGCGGCCATGGAGGCCGAGGATGTAAGCTGGCAGATTTCGCACAATGTTGCCTGGTACCTTGCTTAAGTGCCCCACTTTGCGCGTGCCGCCTGCACGCATGGTGCTTTGCGGTTTGTCCTGATCAACAGGAAGCAATTCGCCTACGGCTCTTAACAAGAGCTTGCCTTCTCCAATGCCAAACAATGAGTCAAGAGCTGCAGCAATGTCAAAAATTTCTTCTGCCGCGCTGCACTTTAATATGGACTTCCAGACTGCACGATCGACTTGGTGGAATCCTATCAGGCTCCAAATTGTGAAAGCAATCAGTGCGACACCTCATTTGTCTTTGCAAAAAATGTCAAATACTATTGTCTACTCATTGCCAAGGTTCTGTCCCACGTAGTGCAATGAGACACTTCACCTGGATGAATTTCAACCCAAATTTTCTCACAGGCTCCGCTCGAAGAATGTTGTGCGAGACGACCGCCTTGACATAAAGCACCATCGCCAGTCACGCAACACAATCTACCTTTCAAAGCTGCCATGCTCAAGGAAGCTGGGTGATTTTTCATGGTTTCCAGGGCCAAGTCCCTGACGCTGTCACCCGTATGCCCTTGCATGGACATGGTTGGGGCATCTAGAAATATGCTCTGTATTCGGTGCGTGTGTGCACTGATGCTGGCCACGCAGAGCACCAAGGTCGTTCCATGTCTCGCGAAAGTTCCAGTGCCTAATGAAACAGGGTCAAGCATGAGGCTCACGTCCGAACAAATACCGAGCCCTGGAAGTGCTAGAGATAGGTCTAGTCCGTCCAGGTGGCGCATCGATGTAGCGGCCAAGTGGATGACATTTGTGTAAAACTCCCGGCCACGACAAGTGGTCCCGAACATCCCAGGACAAAGATCTGCCAAACTGGCCATATCTCTTTCATATTCCAAGCCAGTACGGTTCTCAAAACAGCAATACAAGGCCCGTTGCACAACTCGCTCTAACAGCACTGATTCTGAATCCACTTCACTCTGGGGCTTCGATGCAGGGGCGTCACCGTCATGCAAGGAAGTCTTGTTTTTTCGCTGCCACCAATCTGATAGAGATTGCTTTTGTACTGGAACCCATTCGTTTTGCTTCAAGCCCTCGATCCAAGCTCGGACACTGTGCGGCGACACTGCCAGCAGCTGGCTGACAAAGGCCACTTGCAAAGAGCACCTGTTCATGCCCTTGATATTCGGCAAATAGCTTTGACAGGCTTTGAGAATTCTTTTGGGTACCCGAAAAACGTTGGTCCATGCATTTCCGATCAGGACCAAAGCTTGTTGACTGATGGGAGCAAAGGGACTAATCCAAGAACCAACGTTGCTGCCTGGAAGCCATTGCCCTGGCACACACCTGTCCTCAACCTCGCCTTGGATATCATCATCTGCGTGCAAAAAGACATCTGATGGGTCAATGCATGCAGGCAAATTGCCTTGCGCTTCCTAGAGGGGAGGGGCGATGTAATCGACATGGGAGGGGCAGTGTCTTCACTCAGGTCGTAAACATATACTTTCAGCGGGCTTCGATTCTTTCGGGCCTGTAACCCAAGGGTCCCTAAGTTCAAAAACTGGACACACTAAAACAACCTAACGTGAAGTCCTCAATAGAAAGAAAACCATCTCTGTCTCCATCTTCCTCTGCTATGAAATCAGATTGCAGAAACTGCTCATCAGGACCAGAACTCTCAGAACTGCTTGCAAGCGCAAGTGATTTTGCACTTTCAGCTGGGCTTAGGAAACCCGAACTTGAGTCATCATCCCCCATGCGCGCGCAGCCATGGCATTCGTGAAGGCTCAGTGGACAATGTGCACCGACGGAAAAACATACATCATACCTCCACAATAAGTTTGTGGGAATGCTTCACTAGGATAAAAACTGGGACTCTTCGCAAAACGAAAGAAATTCTTGAGTTCTGACATGCAGAAAGCGTGGGCATAATTTTTGTAGCACGCACTAATCAACGTGGCATCCGCAATCGTCGCACATGTCAAATGCTGCGTTCTGAAACAGGAGCCGGGGTTGCTCGCCCAACTGGAAAAATCCACAAGGCTGTCGACATCTTTGAACAAATTGGTCAACAAATCGCGAGTGGCGGGGCCTGGATACAAAGCTAGCACTCATACTCATGCTCTGCGAACCCCTAAGACTCCTCTAAGGTATGGTGTGGGACCCGTTCGCAAGTGCAATGTTCTGTACATAGCACAGACAATCCCAAAAGCTGGCGCCCAAGCTTTATGATGTTCACGCGCCTGTGGTTCAAGCTTGCTATTCAGGTAACGGGCGCGTCCTGCGCAAGAAGTGTCTCGACAACCACAAATGTTTGCGCAATTAGCAACCAAAAAGCATCTTAACAACACTTCGCACCAATGATTGTGCATCGGACAGGATATCTGTCTGTCTTGTGACAGCTACCAACATCACAGTAAAAGCCGGCCAACGCAAAATTTAAGCTCCTCCCGAAGAGATCTCCAAGGTCCATGGTGCATCAATTCCTGCCGACCAGGACAAAAACACAATGCCCCAAATGCATCTGGAGGGTAGTGCTAGAAACTGTTTTGGGGCATTGCAGCATCGACCTTACGAAGTGCTACTGAGTCTACTGCTTTTGTTGGCTCGGGAAAAGTTGCAGCAGCATCCACGACCGTCAGCCCAACGCTCTGTTAACCCTTGTGTGCCCGAAGCTTGCGAGTACAAAAAATATGGTGTCCATGAGACAAAGCAAATCACTAATTCAAGCACAACCACGGAAAATACTTTGTCTCGTTCCTCTTTTGCCACTAATTGCAGTACACCCACCACATCCCGTCTCATGGCCTCCCGTGACATGAGATGACCAGGAGCAAAACCTGCGTCAAACAGAGTAGAGATCTTCGGCCGTCTCACAAACCAGCTTTTCAATCTTTGTGGTATTTGGCGCCCTTGTAACTCGCAATGCCCCAGCTGCAGCTGAAAGGGTGATCAAAACAAGTGCTTGGGGCATTCCACTTGGAGAACCCGATCGAGAAACCCAACTGGGGAACCCTTCAAAACATGTTTCTGCATCTCTTTTTTGGATTTCACCCTGTTGAAATGCGTTCTCACGAGTTTCCACGATTGCTACTCTTGGATATGTGATATACATGGGGTTCAAACAATCGTAGGTCTACAAATGCCATGTCTCATTCTCCACCAGTGCTGTGGGTGCAAGGCTGCTTTAGAGACATAAAACACGCGCGAAGCCATCCACAAGGTAGAATCATTGAAAATGATCGAAGCCTTGCGGAAGATCATTGGCAGCAACGCGCTCGATCTTGATGTCGCTTCCTTTATTGCCACCAGCCAGCCAGGCTGCATACACGCACAAGTGCAAGTCCGAGAAGTAGCAATGCGGCTCATCCGGCAAGGACTTCACCTATCAGTCAGATGGTAGGCGTGTGTGATGCTTGCACAGTTTCTTCCCAATCTTGTGCATGAACTGTGTCTCAACTCTTAAAATAGTTGAATTCAAGCTAGGTGTACGTTGGACATAAACCGAAATCGTACGCACCACTCGCTTTTGTTTGAGAGGGCGCTTATGCTGGTAGTGCACCCAGGGATTGCAGCCAAATGAACAAAACTCAATTGCTGCGAGGAGGGGAATCACAAGTACAGCTTTAAACTGAACTGAAAAAAGAATGGCTATTCCAATCAAAACCTCAAACCACTACCCACCCAATTTGGTGGCCAGCCTTGGAAACGAGATTTTTGAGCAAAATCTTCGTGGCGAGCTCGTGTGCATTCTGCGGACTGAAGAAGACCCATTTGCCTGCAAGCGGACATGCCTCAGCCGCAGCGTCGCCCTCTTCCGAAATCTTGACGCTGATAGTAGAAAAGGAGAGGGTCGCTTCGCGCAAGATGTTGCGATCGAGTAGGCAGCAGAACTTGCAACCAGGCTTGAACTCCAACAGGCCTCGCTCGAACAACCGCTGCATGTCCACGTCCAACTGAAGAATCGCAAACTCCTTTGACCCAAGCAAGTGAGCTTCAGCCCCACTCATCCGCCTTGCCATCATCCCTTTCGATGGGATGACAGGATCGCTGGTGGCGTAGCCAAGGGAGCGCCGCGTAGTCTTGAATCTCTGATAGACAGCCTTGCGCAAAGAATCCAGATCATTGACAAACAATCACACTCGTTGAACCTTGCTTCAAGAAATCATGAACAAAACGGCTTTAATATAATTTGGCGCCCCTTGCCTCAAGAGGAGACTCGTGGAAATACAGCCACTGAACCTCGCCATGCTGCACCGCATACGACACATGGTCATTCCACTCTGACCGAGCAAACGCCGCAAAGCCTGATGTCATGACGGTGAATCAGACCGCTATCAACTTTCAACGCAAACAAGTCTTGAGCCAGCTTGCTTCAGTAGACAGCGTTCGCTGCTGTTGCATGTGTAGACTTGAGAGAGGAGGGGGTGAACGAAAGGTAGCAAGCAATCACAAGTAACCCTGGTAGAAGTCCATGACGGCGTGAACCGGCGCAGCGGGGATTTGATCCAGGGAAGGGGGGGGCCCCCTCCCGACGAACAGAATCAACTCTTACAGGACCAAATTCAATGCACAATCCCAACTCCTGATTGTAAAACATTCTTGCTAAAGCAAGGAGAACTCAGGTAGCTCAAGCTACCTTTCGTGACATGATCCATGATCGTCACCCAAATGTAACAACCCTTCAAAACTCTCACAATGGCCACCTCGGAACCCCAGAACTAACAGTTGACTCCTAAAGCAACTTTCAGGCATGATTGGGAGCCCTCTCAAGTAAACTCAATTGGTCAATTGATGGATTTGTTGACTCACCATCTCTCATCCAACGTTTCCCTGCCTTGATCACGAGCACACTCTGGAACATGCTGGACGCATTGCGTTCAAGGCCCGAGTCGTATATAGTCCAACAGTGATTCTGGCATGTGCGGTACCGATGCTACTGGCATTGGCATATAAAATTATATCATATTGCATGTGGTCGCTAGGGTGCGATTTGGGCATGAAAGCGACAAACATGCAGAACATGCCACCCTGAGTCTCAAATTCAATGACATGAAAAGTTGCATTTTGTGGGAACCCAAGGATTTGCCAAGCTTGAGCTGACCTGCGTGATCGCAGGCATCTGATGCGTCTGATGCCGAGCGAATCACTGGAGAAGCAAGTTCGGTGAAGCAACAAAACTAAAAATGTTTTTGACAATTGCAAGAATGTTGTCACTGCTTTGCGCCCCCCATCCTGATGCGCATCCCCGAGTAATGCAAAAAATGCTGGACAAACGGGCCAAAAGCTCACAACCGCCAATGAAGTTGTGAGCCCAAAAAAACAAAACATGCGAGGCTCCAAAAGAAACAAACCTGGAAACTGAGAATGATTGTTGCAAGGCAAGGTCTCTGAAGGTCTCTGTGTGTGTGTGCGCGTGAAATTGAGAGAGCTTCCACAACAACATTTGCCCAAAAAGCTTCGAACATATTCGAACCCATTCATGGAGTAGCGTTTGTGCTCAAAAAACAACTCCAAATTTCCTGCGTGCTGTGAAAGGTTGTGGGAATGCCTGCCGCAACCCTGCTCAAGGGCCTTGAAAACGTTTCAAATTACTTAACCTACAAAAAAACAAATGCCACAACAGGAAATGTATATTTCCGGTAATCATTTCACATGCGTTGGAACATGTTTGTCACGTGTGACCCTTCCAGATCCACCGGGTAGAAAACGCGGTGCGACGCCATTACGCCATGTTTGAGATCTTCCCTATGGGCTGAGTTCTCTCAGGCAGCTGTGCCTGGCTCTCACGCAATCTGGGGCATCTCATGGCCTGGGGCATCGCCTGGAGCGGATGACGTCCGTTCCAAAGTCGGTTTGCCACTGCAGTTGATCCAACAAGGCACATATGCGACTTCGAAGCGTGATGGATTTCTGAGTTATCATCGCCGGACCCAGGCTAACTCTGTGATGAACCTTGAAGATAGTTTTCAAAAAAAACAGGCAAAAGCATAACACAAACAAATGAAAAAGCAAAAGCAAAAACAAAGCAAATCCACAAAGCAGAAAACAATGAAAAAGCAAGCGCAACAAATAAAAAAGGAGTGAAAGCAACTTTCCGCTGCTTTTCACCTTTTTTTTGTTGCTGTGTGCTTGCCTCTGCTTCTTTTGCTTTTTTGCATGCCCGCATTTTTCCGCAAGTGCTTTTAGCACTTTGTTCGTTTTTTTCCCCACCGGTGAGGGTTGTTAGATTTTACGTCAGCCCCATCTCCTCCTCCTCCTCCGCCTCGTCCTCCTCCGCCAGACCTCAACCGCGACCATCCACGCCCAGTGTTCCCTGCCGGACCTCAACCGCGAGCTCCAGACCCAAGTGTTCCCTGCCGGACCTCAACCACGACCATCCGCGCCCAGTGTTCCCTGCCGGACCTCAACCGCGAGCTCCGGACACAAGTGTTCCCCACCGGACCTCAACCGCGACCATCCACGCCCACAGTGTTCCCTGCCGGACCTCAACCGCGAGCTCCAGGCCCAAGTGTTCTCTGCCGGACCTCAACCATAGCACAACGCAACCACAAGCACAACCACAAACACAATCACAAACACAACCGCGAACACGTAATCACAAGCGCACAACCACAACCACAACCACAACACAACACAAAACCACAAACACAATTGCAAACACGTAACCACAAACACAATCACAAACAACACACTACAAACACAATCACAATCACAAACACGCAACCACCAACACAATCACAAACACGCCACCACAAACACACAACCACCAACACGCAACCACAAACACAATCACAAACACACAACCACAAGCACAACCACAAACACAATCACAGATGCAACCACAAACACACAACCACAAACATAAACACAATCACAAACACAACCACAAACGCAACCACAAACTTCAAACACACAACCACAAACACACAATCACAAACACACAATCACAAACACAACCATAAACACCCAACCACAAACACACAACCACAAACACAACCACGGCCACAATCACAAACACGCAATGACACGCACACAACCACACACACAACCACAGCCACAAGGACAAAAACGCAACCACAACCACAAAGACAATCACAAACGCAACCACAAACACACAACCACAAACACAATCACAAACACACAACAACAAACACGTAGTCACAAGCACACAACCGCAAACGCAACCAGAACACACTACTACAACAAGAACTCCTACTACTACTACTACGACGACTACTACTACTACCTCCGCTACTACCGCTACTACTACTACTACTACTACTACTACCACCACCACCACCACTGCCACTGCCACTCCTACTCCCACTACCACTACTCCTACTGCTAGTACTACTGCTGCTACCACTACCACTACCACTACTACTACTGCTACTACTGCTGCTACTACTACTACTACTACGACTACTCCGACTACTACTACTACTACCACCACCACTGCCACTGCCACTCCTACTCCCACTACCACTACTCCTACTGCTAGTACTACTGCTGCTACCACTACCACTACCACTACCACTACTACTGCTACTACTGCTGCTACTACTACTACTACGACTACTCCGACTACTACTACTACTACCACTACCACTACTACTACTACTACTACTACTACTACTACTACTACTACTACTACTACTCTACTACCGGAAGTTTCCCAGGTTCGGGCCCCGAAGCTCGGGCCCGGAACTGTGTCCAACAGCAACTACACGACCACGACCACGACCACGACCACTCCTACTGCTACTGCTACTGCTACTCCTACTACTACTACAACTACTACTAGTACTACTACTACTACTCTACTACTTCTGCTCGGGCCCTGGAAGTTTCCCAGGTTCGGGCCCTGAAATACACAACGAGGGTGATGTCAACGTGGCTGTATTGAAATGTCATCGTGGGGATCACTCGAAGTAAAGTAACTTTTTGTGTTTGTTCGCTTATTTGTTCGATTGTTTTGGTGTGTTTTGCTTTTCATTTATATTATATATATATATGCATGCTTTTCGCTTTTTGTTTTGTGTTTGTTTTCCGCTTTTTGATGTTCTAATATGCTGTGTGTTTTGTTTTTTTGGATTTGTTTATTTTTTTGTTGGTTTTGCTTGTTCATTTGTTTTTGCGTTTTGGAGTTGCTTTTGTTTAGCTTTTGCTTTTTCATTTGCTGTTTGTTTGATTTGTTTTTTATGTTTTTTTTGCTTTTGCTTTTTCATTTGTGTGTTTTTCTTGTTTTCTTTATTTTTGGATTTGTTTTTGTGTTTTTGCTTTTTAATATAGTCTTAGTTGTTGTTTTTGTAATTTGTATGTTTTTTATTTGGAAAAACCATCAGAGTAGCCTACGTGGTTTTCTTAAATCTAGAGATGCGAGACTGGCAAACACACTGAACGTCAACGTGCAAGCCCCCTTTAGCTCCAAACATGCAAGTACAAATGATTGGGTGTCGGCACCTCTCTCCAAAGCATTCGAGAAAGGACTAAAAAGGGACCATACAACCCTCCACGGAACCAATGAGCATTCCTTCATTGTCCCCGTCGTTGATCATCGGCTGATCCTCTGAGATGCAGCATAGCAGCATTCTCCGATTCACGCAGGAGTGCACTCACCGATAATGGAACACATCCGCTCCGTGGACCCCAAGGCCAACAAAACCTGGTGACCTAGTTCCAACTGGACCTACCAACCTCCATTCCCAAGTTCTTCCACACAATTGAATGCTTTAGGATGTTTCAGGTCTCAAATGATCAATGACTTGCCGCGGAAGCTGGGACTGGTCCGTCGTCCATTTCGCACGAAGCACCCCACGTCGCTGCGCGCCACGTCGCACGAAGCGCCTCAGTGGCCATGATGCCCGTGCCCATTCTTCTGCGCGTGGAGGCACTCCCCGTACGCCTGGCACCAACGGTCTTGGCGAAGCAAAGACCCAAACAACGCCGAGAAATGGCACCTCTCACCAACAACGTCACGAAAATTCAAGGTGTCCCCCGGTGGCATTTTACGAACAGGGGGTGCCATCCACTTCCATGTGATGTGTAGAGTGTACATCGACCCGCAGCTCTTGACTCCAACCCCACCATCGGTTGGAATAGAACCCCCCATGACCCATGGATATACCATATCCGCATGATGGTCGCACGAGGTCTGTCTGTCAAATCAGTTTGAATTTGCGCATGGGACTTCCATACAAATGAAAAAAGCACAAATAATAGATAAATGATAGATCTATATACTATATATTCTATAATGTTCATAATAGATGTGAATAGTGGTATTCCAGTTCCATCGCTGGACGTCATGCTGT